CCTCTCTTCACTGTTTGTTTAAAACTCGATTATGTTCCATTAAAATACTCGTAACACATTTTGAAGTGTTGAATTTGAATACTTGTAATATTCGTAAAATGCAAAATGATGTTCGGAGTGAAATTAACTAATTTTTTGTGCCTAACGATCTTCAAAATGAATTTTCGTAACTTTCAAAATTTTGAAAATTCATTTTGAATATTGTTAGGCGCAAAGAACAAACAACGATGAAGCAACAAGAAAATTTGAGTTAATTAATGTTCTAGTTCGACGCATATCGGCGCGAGTAGACTTACATATGTAGCAATTCGTGAAATACTTAAGTAGACAGTTCTAATGGAAAATAAGTGTTTTTAGTTATGTTTTTATTAAAATTATCTTAAATATTTTTTGAAAAGACAGTACGTATTTATAAGAATACAAACATACATTACCAGCTTATTAAGATATTTAGATAACTATAAGACACGTTCTGCTGTACTTCGTGTTCCATAGTGCTAATGGATGGTCTTGGCGAATCAAGAGTCTTTTTGCCGCATCTTCATAATCAATTAATGCGACGTGGCCCAGAGAGCGTTGTCAGTTATTCAACGTAATTTTAAGATATTTTGTATCCCGCATAGAGTCCGTAAAAACTTTTACCCATTTATAGGTCGAAAACGTTTTCTCATAATTAAAAATGGATTACTCTATACCATTGACGCACAAATAGAAACTAGTCTTCAGAATATACCTTTGTGAGTTACGTTGGAAATCTATTCGTTAAAATGTTAGCATGGATCCTGTTACTCATTTGTATGTCCCAAATGTTTTTTTCCAAAAATATCCTTTACAAAATAAAACTAAAAACAAACAAGTTCAGTATAAATAGATTGCAAAAACTTCCCGCATGAATGTGTGTATTTGAACCACAAAGCGTTTCCATATAAAAAAATAAATAGTGCTTATAATAAAGTTAGACTAAATCCAGTTATCTCTTTTAACAATGTTGCCACATGAACCTTGTGATACAAGTACTTACAAGTTATTTGGATTCGGGAATGAAAGATCATTAAATATTTCGAATTTTGGTCTGGGAATTGCGAAAAAAGAGTTTGCTTTTTTAAGTACATCCTCAGAAAAGGTCCCACCCAATAAACTAAATATCATTTCGACTTTTGAATAATAACAATTATTCTACCCTCAGCAAATTTTTTTTGTGACAATTTTTTTATTTTTTATTTTTTTTTGTGGTCCATTGTCCCATTCACCAAAATAAGGAAAATCAACTTGACTAGACCCACCGTGGCAGAGAAAAGGCTCAGTTGGAATTCACATCCCTCGAATGTTAGCAACAAGACTACAAGTGGGTTTTACGACTGCCCTTGGTGTGATTACAGGTATTCCGTCACTGTCTATTCTGATTGAAAAGGATGCCTGTCCAATGCAAACGGCATGTAGAGTGGGGATCTTCGGACCACTTCGAGGCTCTCAAGACACTGAAATTATCGTTTGGCAAGCACAACAAGGTCAGAATTTCTGAAAGGGACTGCAGTGAAGCGATAGTATCTATAGTATATCGATGAATCGAAGATGGACGACGGGAGTACTGAGGCAGACCTACTTAGACCAAAATTCCAGAAAAGTCTGCCAATGGGCACATAGCCAACCATATTCAAATGAGGCCAGAATAAGTAGAGACGGACTGCAGGTTATGTAGGTTGTAGCGATGTGCGAGCATTTAAAGAACCAGTTCTGCCGAGTCCAGTTCCAAGAAAACCTGGGAATTTGGACCGGTTCCGGTTCTCAAAAAAGTGGTAACGGAATTGAGCCCTTTTGGAATCGAGTTTCGATTCTTCCGGAATGGGTTTTCGGTTCTTTTGAAATCGAGTTTCGGTTGTTTAGGAACCATTTTTCGGTTCATTCGGAATCGAGTTTCGGTTCTTTTGGAACCCTTTTTCGGTTCCTTTGGGATCCGTTAGAACCGTTTTTCGAACCGGTCGGTTTTCTAAAAAAAACCCGGTTCTCCGGTTTCGGTTTCTCGGTTCTGTGCATCATTAGGTGGTTGGTGGACGAAACCCCAGAGGATATTCCCATATGACTGATATACTTGGGGAACGATTATCTGCTCCATCCAAAATCAGGAGCATGACACTCCAATTTGCTTGATTTAATTTCTTAGTCACTCCAATGACTACAGTTAGGGTTTAGTACAATGGATCTTTTGAGGTCGCAGCGCCAGTTTACCCGTCGTCACAATAATAATTTTACATTTTGAAAAATAACATTGCTCTTGACAGATCGACGGTTCACTGTTCTTGGCTCATCTGGCAACCTTGTCCTTTTTTGTCTAGTAAGCTCATAAAAAACTCTAAACTCATGAAGGAAATTATTTCCAAAGCCAACTTGTTTTTTTTCTCTGATCTAAAAAAAACCACCAGCGCCCGAATCGCGGCATTCGTGATCGAATGATTACTCGTTTCCAATCGAATTCTTTTCTCACCAATACAATTTAAATTGACACTTGCCTTGACTTGAATGCCGCGCTCTTAAAATCAAATTTCGATTCTAGTTACATTCGATATAGAACGCCGCGATTCGGGCAGAGTTCTAACGTTTTTTAACGAGTTTAATGATTGAATATTATGAAGTCAATGTATTTAGTGATTATTTTTATTAGGTACATATGAAAAGTTATATAACTGTGAATTTGTTTAACCCAGTGAAATCAGTGTTGTAGCTACATATATAAAATATATTCCAACAAGTTTTCGTCAAAAATATGCAAATTTCAAATAAGCTCCACAAAAGCGAGCTAACCATCAATAAATTTTAGGACCAAACAGTTTAAAACTTAAGCAAAATCTGAAATAATTCAATATCACTTAAATTTATTTATTTTTCTCATAATTTCTGTATTACTTCATAAAATGCCACACACGAAACCGTACTACAACGCCCAAAAAAATATATTTATATGTATCTAAAAAATTATCTCACAACAACAACTACAACATCAACAAATACAATGTGTAACAAACAAAAGCGGTAGCATATTCGTGGAAGCGCCTCGAGCTAATCGCCGTCGCAGCATTTATAATTTCTTTTTGCGCCATCAGGATGCAGTCGATGATAGCTTAACATCACCATCAGTGCATAGAAAAAGTAATTATTTGAAAATCAAAAAAATTCGACACAACACTCACACCCATGCACAATCAACAAAAAAAAAAAATTGCATAAAATTCACAATAAAAGAAAGATCACAGAAACACACGAAATTGCAAAACAGACACAAATTTGTATCTAATAGACAAACACAAATAAACTTACTTCTTGCCAACACTTGATGTACTATAAATATTTATTTAAATGTTTGGAATTTGAACACTTATATTTGTTTCTTAATACATATGTATCTATGTATTTAATAATCTACACGTACATTACACTCTCTTTTCATCACCATTTCCCATTGCCCATTGTCAATTTGTAGTGCATTTACATATAAACAAATTTTAATCCATTCCCTACACTGTAAAAAACTATCCATTCACCTCCTACACATTTGTAATTAATTATTTAATTTTGTAATACACCGTTATAATCAAAGTATATATGTATGTATCTTTCGCTGTGCGTGTGTCATTGAATATGTGTGTGCGTATTGGTTTGATTCTTCCCTGCAAAAATCGTTGAATCACGTGATCTTGGAGTAGTTTTATGCTACTCTCTGATGTAATGCTCAGCTGAATGGAGTGCGTGCAAGGAGTAGTCAGCGATTTTTGCAGGCTTTTTGTTGTAATAAAACTACTTGTATGTGTATATACATACAAGTACATATGTATGTACATAGATATATTTGTATGTATGTCTGTCTATCTCAACGTTTTGCATTTTCCCTTAAGCAAATATGTATGTATGAATTTTTCTTCAACGTCCCCTCCCCTCCTCACCAATGCAGGCATTTCACCAACGACAACAGCAATTTCCTCCACAACCACAGCCACCGAAAGACAAACCCAACCGCAATCACAATCGCAACTACAACAATTACCTACGCAAATAGCGCCAACGCCAACACGTAAACGTGCCACCAGTTTTATACGTAAAAAGCCACCGCTTGAAAGAGGTTTGTCAGCACAAAGCGCTTTAAGAGTTAACAAAAATGCTTTTGTCTGTATGTGTGTCGATGGTATTATTCAAACGTTTGAACACATTTCACTTAAAACGCATTCCACTTGATTTGTTTCAGCGGAAGGACCAACACCGGAGGTGATTGTGACAAAACCGTCGCCGGAACAGCAATCGGGTCCGCTTGGCTTGAGGCCGGATAACTCAACGTTGGTGCATGTGTTGGTGCATCGTGAGAGTGAGGAGTACAAGGAGGAAGAAGATGATGAGGGCGGTGGCGGCGGTGGCGGCGACGGCGGCGGTGGTGGTGTGTCACCAGTTGGAGCGATTGGTAAGCTGCAGTGTTTTAGTTGGCGTTATTGTCATTACATTTATGTTACCCTTTCAAGTACTATTATCATTAGCATTGGGTACCAACATCATTCGCCATTACCATTGCCATCACAATTACCATTACCATTACCACTTCCATTATAACAACCGTTACCATTACCGTTAACATCACCGTATTATCATTTCGATTAACATAACCATTTTCATAGTCATTACCATTACTAATATCATTACAATTATCATTACCGTTACAATTAATTTCACCTTTACAATTGCCGTTATCCTAACCATTACATTTGCCATTCTCACTACCATCGCCACCATTTTCAATGTTATTACCGTTACAATTATCATTACTATTGCCATTACAATTTTTTATTACAATTACCACTACCACTACCATTACAATTTATGTTTTGCTTACCATTAACAATACCATTACCACTAGGCTAGGTTAGGTTTCCATAACCATTATTATTATTATTGCCATTACCAATACTACTACCATTATAATTACCACTACCTCTACCGTTATCATTACAATTACTGTTACCACTACTAAGACCATTATCACTACCGTTACCACTAGGTTAGGTTAGATTTCCTTAACCACTGCCATTATCATTACCATTACCACTAGCCCTAACCTCACCTTAACCACAAAAATTGCCATCCCTAAAAATCGCTTAGGTCTGCATAAATAAAATATTTTATACAGGAAATAACATCGTACGCGAATATAGCGGAAATTTCGCATAAAATAACATTATTTTGTAATTTTCTGTCACTCCAGACAAATTTAAACCACCACAAATACATATTAGTCCAGGCTCCGAAGACATACGCTTCGACGACCTCATAACAATGCAACAGCCCATCGTGCAAATAATGGTCGATAGTCCCAAAGACCCACCACGCGGCGACTTCTCCGATGAAAATCAAAACGCTTCGGCTCAGGTTTACGACTACACTGCGCCAACCAACGAAGAAAGCCCAACAAGCGATTCTCATATTGAGGAGGAAATATCACCAGCAACAGCGATTGATTTAAATGAGCCAATTGATGTGAACATACAGGGTGATACATCCAAAGTGTTCTACGATTACAATCCACAGGATGCCAATGAAATCATCGTGCTGGAAACTTTAACCGAGGAGTCACCCAAATCAGAGGATCTACCACTCCCACAAGCTGCGCTCCCAGCACTACAACAATCAACAATTACTACTCCTCCAGCCTATGCGCCAACAGCCGCCGTCACACCCACAACACCTGTGGCGGCCACTCCACCAGATGCACCGGAGAGCGGCGCCACCAGCGGCGGTGCTGGCACATCTGATGAGAGCGATAAAGCGATTAGATGACCTTCATTGCAAACAGCACCGGTGACAGAGAGCTCCGGCTCATCGAGCACCAGTTGCTGTAGTTCACGACCCATGTCAACTTACAGTTCCACTTCGGCGGCAGATGCCTGTGCGATACCGGAAATGCCAAAAGACAGCGAAACGCCATCGACGTCTGTGTCTCCAACAGCAGCACCGCCACCACCAACACCTGCTATGCTGCCAGCCGTTGCCGAAGTTGTGCAGAGCGCTGAGGATGGCGCCGTCAATGCCAATGCTGCAACGAAAACCGAACACTCACAAGGCAGTTGACAATCTCGAGCATGAGGACTGCTGCTCGCAATATGCCACTGCGCCAAATTAGCCATCAAATACGCGATTAGTACGAGTATTTGCTGTGGATGCATCAATATACATCGTTTTACCATATTCGTTATTGCTTAGAGGTATTGGAATTGAGTACTAGTTATATATATATATTCCTCATAACCAAAATAAATCAGTTGTTCGTATTCATATCCAATCTTAGAATTAATTACTTATATGTAGGTATGTAGGCATTAAAGTAATAATCATTAACAATAGGGTATGTTTAGTTTTTAAAGAAGACGACCAAGGAGTAGAATACGAGACAAATAAAAAATAAAAAAATAAAATTTAAAAATTATACAAGGAAATCAAACGTTAACAATTACATACAATAGCGTTGGCAGTAACTACATAATAAGTTCAGGTAGTCGTAAGTTGCTAATTCCAAAATTATTCAGCCTTGTAAATATGTGAGCTTCATAACCAAATATGTATGAATGTTTTTTTTTTCAAATACATACTTATATATATAATTATTTGTACATAATGATATTAGAGGTTGTTGCAATTTTTTGTGCATGCAAAATATTTAGAAGTAGCAAAATATTATATGTACATATATGTAGCTAGATCCTAAAGCTACAAAAGATTGGTGATTCCTATTCGATGATGATTGTATGGCTCAATTGAAATTGGAATACCATTTTATTATTTACCTATATTATACATATGTACATATATGTTTATACATATATATAATGTATGTATGTAGTTAGTTCTGTCCATAAAATTCATCCAACTTAGTTAATTCACTACTCTGATATACATAACAACGTTCAGGAATCGAAAAATAAGTTCAAAAAATTTCTAAAAAATTACGGTGCAATTCTTCTGCAGGTTCAATATATACTAGGTACAATGTTGCTCCCCACTGAATTTAAACCATAAACCATACATTGTTAGTCTCTTTTATTTTATGAATAACTCGACGTAACTTTTCTATAAAATCCTCGTTAAGTCAAGCGAAATTTGGGGTTTCTGAAACTTGACTTTCAGTGGATAGCAGTTCAAAACTAGTTAAAAATATTTGCGATATCGATTGCACTTTTTAAACGCTTTTATATACATAAATCTGCTCAATTCAGAATATACTGGATGTTCGTTTCTTAATACTTGTTTCTAAAAATCTCTTAGCTAGGCCTGGTGAAATTACTATTCGTAAGATTCGCAGGTATGGCAATCAGTCACGTCTGCTCGTAGTGGGTCGATACTTTCGTATCTATTAAACCAGTTATGCACACAGGAGTCATATGGAGAAGCTCGTCTTTCACGTACAGATCGTAGGAGAGAGCTTACGAACTTTTACGACGATGACCGCGACGCAAACATTTTGCGTTAGCGCTACTTTGGCAAGCACTGCCCTACACCTTCCGAGATTGAGGAAAGTAGTACATATAATTTTCATATCTTTAGCAAAAATTATCAAATTAATATAAAAAAGTTCTGCCTATGGCTTTGTTTTTGCCAATTTAATTTATTTTCTGAACTAAATATACTCGCCCATTGTACACTTTTCAACTGTTTTAAATCGCTGCCAAAAACCTCTTACTTAATCCTTGCAAAGACGGGGCAGAGACCCAAAAAGTATTCCGCCGTCTCATCCTCTTCGAGACAGGAAAGGCAAATTGGGGGGTGTTGTCATATAAGCCGACCACACGCAGATGATTGTACCGCATAAAGTATCCAGTCAACAGCCTCACAACTTGTTTGCAGTCCAATCTATCCAATGAAGGCAAATACCTAGCGCGACCCTTCGATATGTAGGACAGCATGGGTTTTGCCCGCCCGCCCGTATCCTCTCGAAGCTTCTCGGTCTCTGCCGAGCCCAGTTTCTGACGGCGGGCCTGCCATCCAAAGTAGGACAAGTTCGTTATGTTTTCCAACATATCTGGCTGGCCCATATCTGACTGGGAATACCGAATTCCTCAAGGATAAAGTGATGCGCATCCCCATTATCTTCGATATAGACCACAGATCCTGACCCAATGCCAATTTTGGAGTGATCAGTAAAGATTCGATATTGTGTAGGCTGGGGCTCAATGTTGGGATCAAGCCAGCATTCAGCCTCAGAGAACTCAACATTATAGAATCTCCTCAGCAAAGGAAATGGTGGCATTATAACCTGGCGTCAACTTAAACAAACCTAACGCCACATCTTTTTATAATAAATACGTCTCGTTGAATGAAATTCCAACAATTCAAGTAGTGAATTAAAGAACGGAAAAAGAATATAAATATGTAGCTGTAAAATATGCTTACGTACATTAGTTATAAACTTATAAAAATACAATGTTGTAAAGTTATTGCAAACTTGAAATTACCGACAGCTTTTTGGAATTTATTCATAGTTCATAATTTTAGGGGTATTCACACTCTCCATATCTGATTATATTATTAATTACAACTAAGCCGTGAACATTACATAACATATACATGCATATGCATGTACATACATAGGTTACTTCTAATTATTAAATTCAAATCAGCGTCCACACGACAAAAATTCGCGAGTTTTTGAACTTAAAAAAGCAAATAACTCTCCCTATAATCTGCAAATTTGTGTGAATCTTATGTTTCTCTTGTTGAAGACTGAAAATATATAGCTTTTTAACCAAATAAACCGATAAGCAGGGAGGAGTGAATACCGCAATTATATTTTATTTGTTGCTATCTTAATGAATATTTTGTTAAGCAGCAAAATACAATGGATTAAAAAATTATGTACATATTAGACGATTCAGTTTAAATGCTGCATTATATTTTTATTTAATCTTATAAAGCACCATATGAAAATTTATACAACTATGTGTGTCAATCTAATTGGTTCGTACTTACGTAAAGGTGACGTCAGACGAGGTAAGCAAAGTGCTTTCATGAATTGACTTTTTTGATTAAATACTCTTAACTGGTTCTGTTAAAGGTAACAGTTGTATTGTAAAGCGAAAAAGCATATCCATCGACGGATCCAAATTAGCTCAAATAGCATATAAATATGAGTGATCAAATTTCAAAAAGTTTTGCCACGAAAAGTATTAATATGTTCGTTCGCGTAGCTGTTAATTGTTCAAGTTTAACCAAAACTTACAGGTTTTTGCGTTCGCGTACGCAAAAAACTTGCAAAGTAGGGGAAATTGAGAGAGCAAAGTGACATTTCATTTTGAGGGGAAGCTGTTAGTTTCTGTTGGAAAAATTTTTGCCAACAGCAATTTGCCAACAGGGAAACAGCTGATCAAAAACAGCTGGTTGGCATTTACGCAAATCACAAAATTGAATTTGATGGTTTGGAAGATAAAAATTACAAAATGCGACTAATTAAACTTGTAAGAAATAAGTAGTTATTTGTTTAATCAATAAACTGTGTCAGTATAACACTTTGCGATGACTTTTCGTACGTTTTAAATTTTACACTTTTGTATGTAAACAAAAATTATATCAGCTGTTCGTCTAACTTGCAAGTTTCTGCAAATTTTCTGTTCGCGTACTATTTTGGATATTTCTCTCTTGTGAGAGAACAAATGACATTTCGCCGGAATTTGGCAGTTGGTTGGTTTCTGCTGGAGATTTTAAACGAACGCACCTAATATCATGAGGGAATATACAAATCTTCATTGTTTGGCTATTTGGTTTCACGATTTCATAGCGTCCGACTTAAAATTCTGGAAGGAAGATAATGAGATAAGAAGTCAAACTAAAGTCTTTAAGTAAAAAGGGTTAAAAATGTATTCGCCGGAATATATGTATATAGTTTCAATAGTTTACTGATGGTAGAAAAATTAAAACTTCCGATTTAAAAGTTATTTTCGAGATTTAATTTCGACATTAAGCCTTTTTCTGGCAATAATAATTATCTTGACACGTCTGTGTACACCTTTATATTTTACAAAATTATTCATGGAAAAATCTGAGAAATATCTGCAATTCTATTAAATTTACATAGTTTGGGTGGTATTGCATAAAAATCGAAATCAAAATGCTTATTAGTCACTGGATATTATATTTCGTTTTACTTTGCTATTTACTTTAGACTTGTCTAGACAACTCGTTTTTTTTATATAGTAGCTATTAATTTATATAGACCATATCGCAACATACTATATACATCCCGTGTCAAAATTATAAGCGCACCACATATTGAAAAGTTTTACAATTTATTTAACTTTTTATTTTTTTGTTTATAAAAATATAGTTTATTCTTTAACAAAAACCGTATAGATCCAAGTTTAAAACTTAATTCAAGTGCAAGTTTGAAGTTGCATTTTTTTTGCCGACTATGTTGTGCAGTTTCTTCCATAAAAATTATATTTGACCACCTTTTTTTTGTATCGGGTATACTTATGTACACAAGTACTTTTATCAGCTGTTTTCACAGTAGAGAGTTCAATCACATTCAGCAATTAACTTAAATTTTTGTTCTTCGACGTCCGACTGCTAAATGCGAGCTCACTATGCACTCTGGAAACGGCCTTAAATATTTACATATTTTTAGTGAGTTTTTGTTTTATAAAGCAAAATTCAAATTATTTCAAAATTAAATAATTAAGGCCATAAACAAATAAGTAACACTACGAATCTCTTCCCTATGAAAAACTTTGCCAAAAGTGTTGTAAAAGATAGATTTGTAGATAAATGTTTCTTCTAAAGTAATTGTAAAGTAGTTAAGTACACAAGTCTAATGATTAT